TTCTGAACCACGTGATTTTCCTGGATGTTCTGATGCTGCTTGCTACTATGCATAATAGTTATAAATTGGTATGATCGGGTAGCTAAAACTTATTTTTCCCTCAAATTTTAGGTCATCAGACCAGTGCTGAGTCTTGGGGTACTGGTAGAGCTGTGGCTCGAATTCCCAGAGTTCGAGGTGGTGGGACTCATCGTTCTGGCCAGGGTGCTTTTGGAAATGTATCCTTTGTTTTGCTACCTACACTGGTCAGCTGTCATGGAATTTAGCAGATGACCTGGGTTATTCATATTAATATAGTTTGAAAATATTTATGTCCAAAATACTAATAGTATCCCAGATAAACATTGCTCTAAGCAGATTTGGAATGGGGAACATGTTTAAAGAGAAAGGATTTCACATGGGGGGAAGTTTTGCTTGCAATGATGTCGTAATTTGCGTCTTACTCTGTTTTCAGCGACAGTTGCCTGCTGTCAGTAAGCTGGTACAGAAGGTTGACGAAAATTGTTACTGAGCAAGACATCACCTTTTTTTATTCCTAAAATATGAGAATTGTGATTCTTAACAGAAAATAGATGTGCCGTGGAGGCCGCATGTTTGCTCCAACCAAAACCTGGCGCCGTTGGCACCGTAGAGTGAACACAACCCAAAAGCGGTATGCCATCTGCTCTGCCCTGGCTGCTTCGGCCTTACCAGCGCTGGTGATGTCTAAAGGTTTGTAATATTTTGTATGTTAAGAGTGATACAAAACACTTCTTTTTTCTTAAACCTGAACCTTTCTGTTTTGTTATAATTGCCCATGTACATTCTGTTTATCCCAGAGTATCTGTCTAAATTTTCCTTTACTAAATATTAGTTCTACTTTAGTCTAACAAGTCAGTTATCGATGAATACTAACTGTAATTGGGAAACTATTATTCAAATAGTGATTTAGTGTATAATTAGAAAATTTTCTACATAAAAATGCACTGGGGAGCATGAGAGTTTATTCACTTATTTTGGGTGGCTGGCTGGTAAGACATCTTAATGAACCGAAATGAACCCTTGACCTTGGTTGCATTTTTTTATTTTTATTTTTTTCCTTTTTGTCTTTTTTCGTGTCCGGCAACGGATCGCAACCCTCAGTGTCGTGCCCGTACCGGACCAGGACCGGCCACGGGATCGCAACCCTCAGTGTCGTACCCGCACCTCGCTCAGCCAGTGAGCGGGAACCGGTCTGTATGTGGGATCCGAACTCTCAGCAGGAGTGCCGCCACGCTCTCAAGCGGCGCACTGTAGCAGTGCGCCACCGGGCCGGCCCTGCATTTTTATTTTATTGTCAAAATGATGAGATTCCACTTCATTGGTCCGTGTCTCTGAAACACATGATATTTGTGGAAATTCTGATTTGGCAAATTGTATACCATTTCGCTTTTGTGGCTAATATAAGCTGTTTCTTAATTTTTGAAAGGGTTCAGGGTAACCAGATAAGTATTGAATTGGCTTTGTCAGGTCATCGTATTGAGGAAGTTCCTGAACTTCCTTTGGTGGTCGAAGATAAAGTTGAAGGCTACAAGAAAACTAAGGAGGCTGTTTTGCTTCTTAAGAAACTTAAGGCATGGAATGATATCAAAAAGGTATGTTTAATGAGCCCATTTATAGTTTGGTAGTCCTTGATCCACACAAATTTGTTGTCATATTTTAAATTTCAAAAGATAAGTATGAAGGAAGGTATAGTTAAGCCTTAGTGTATGAGGGCACGAGGACTTTGGGGCCAGATTGCTTCAGTTTGAATCCTGGCTGCCATTTATGGCTATGTATATAACGTTGGGCAAGTTAATTTGTGCCTCGATTTCATCATCTGTAACATGGAAATTTTTTTTTAACCATGGAGATCTATTGCAAAGATCAGATCTTAATCAGAATACTAAAACTGCTCACTTTGTAGGTCTATGCCTCTCAGCGAATGAGAGCTGGCAAGGGCAAAATGAGAAACCGTCGTCGTATCCAGCGCAGGGGGCCCTGCATCATCTATAATGAGGACAATGGTATCATCAAGGCCTTCAGAAACATCCCTGGTAATTCTTGTACTACTTACATGTTTTGATTACCTATACCACACAAGTTTACTCAGCTTTTATTATGATGAGATTCCACTTTATGGTCCGTGTTTCTGAAACACATGATTTTTGTGGAAGTTCTGATTCTTGGCTAAATGAGGAAGACCATCAGTGATTAAAACTTCGTAATTAATGAGGTAGTTCTCAGGCACCTTATGTAGTGCATATAATCCATAGAGATTTTTCAGTTTCTTCTGTCGAAATACAGGCATCCTAATGCTTTCCCTTTAACAGGAATTACTCTGCTTAATGTAAGCAAACTGAACATTTTGAAACTTGCACCTGGTGGGCATGTGGGACGTTTCTGCATTTGGACTGAAAGTGCTTTCCGGAAGTTAGATGAATTGTATGGCACTTGGCGTAAAGCTGCTTCTCTGAAGAGTAACTATAAGTGAGTGTTTTTTGTATTCATACACTGATTATGGATATTTATGCTGTAGACATTTACATTCAGAATTGATTTGCATATTTTCTAAATAATGGGTTATATTTTGTTGTCATTTTCCACTTATGTGCAGACATAATACAATGAAATGGTGAAATGCTCGCTCTCTCATTTGGTCCATGTCTATGAGAAGTGATAGTGTGGTGAAAATTTCCATTGAATTCTGGGGAGCTTAAATGGCTAAAAATAAAGCTTCTGTTGAAGTTTATAGTCCATTACATGAGAAATAGGAATTTAGACATCCATTGTCAATCTTTTTCCTTCAGCCTTCCCATGCACAAGATGATGAATACAGACCTTAGCAGAATTTTGAAAAGCCCAGAGATCCAAAGAGCCCTCCGAGCACCACGGTAAAGTTATTCTATTTATGGTCTAATTCTTGCCCCAACCTTATACTATTGGCTATTTCAAAAACGTGTATAATGTGTAAAATGTTGACATAATGCCTACCTTATTATAGCAAGAAGATTCATCGCAGGGTCCTGAAGAAGAATCCACTGAAAAACCTGAGAATCATGTTGAAGCTAAACCCATATGCAAAGACCATGCGCCGGAACACCATTCTTCGCCAGGCCAGGAATGTAAGTGTTTTTCTTTTTTTTCTTTCTACCTCTATGTTAAGTTATTGGAAAGATTTGATTCTTAAATTTTCTACCTAACTTGTTGCAGCACAAACTCCGGATGGATAAGGCGGCAGCAGCAGCACTAGAGGCCAAATCAGATGAGAAGGGGGTTGCAGGCAAGAAGCCTGTGGTGGGGAAGAAAGGGAAGAAGGCTGTTGGTGTTAAAAAGCAGAAGAAGCCTTTGGGGAAAAAGGCTGCAGCTACCAAGAAACCAGCGGCTGAAAAGAAGCCAGCAGCTGAAAAGAAGCCAACAGAAAAGAAACCAGCCACAGAAGAAAAGAAGCCTGCTGCTTAAATTTATTTCGTAAAAGTCAAATTATTTTGGACAGCTTATTTTGAATAAAGACCTGATGAAAGAGGCAGTGAAAAAACATGGCTTATTTGGTGTTTGTGAATGTTGGGTAAAATTTTTTAAAGTAATGCTTTGTTCTCCAAAATTCCAGCCTTTAATTTGTTCTATTTTGTTATCAGGTATAAAATGGAACCTTGAAGTTAACCTAATTCCATGCAGTTGAATGGAAGGGAGATTCTCAAAAATTCCTGATAAGATCCATTTCATAAATGTCTTGAAAATAGATGGTTAAAAGATTCGCCTCAAATATACAGAAGCTGTTCAAATTTAGTCCAAAAAAAATGGAAAATGGGGGGCCGGCCCGGTGGCGCACTGCTACAGTGCGCCACTTGGGAGCACGGCGGCGCTCCCGCCGAGGGTTTGGATCCCACATACAGCCCAGTTCCCGCTCACTGGTTGAGCGAGGTGCGGGCGCAGCACCGAGGGTTGCGATCCCATTGCCGGTCCCGGTCTGGTACAGGCGCGACACTGATGGTTGCTATCTGTTGCCGGACACGAAAAAAGACAAAAAGGAAAAAAAAAATGGAAAATGGATTAACTTTAACCACAAGAGGGCACAATTGTAGGATACAATTTATGAGGTACTATGGGAAGAAATTTTTAACCCACTAGGATAGAATAGTTTGAGGAAATGCTTGCCACCCTCTTCAGTACTTTCACCCATAGTTTGAAGAAGTGTCAAAGGCATTTTTTGGAACTGCAGGCATGTCTTAAAGTTTTATTAGCAGGGAAATATTTAACCAACGATGATAAAGAGAAATGCCAATGAAATGTCCCCCAAACTGCTTTAGGGTTCCCCCCCTAAAGGTTTTAAACTGCTGTCCATGCAAATCTTAACCCTAAAACTACCCCCTGCTTTTATTCTGTCAGGGTCTTGTGATTATTAAAGTAGCCGCAGATTGGCAGTCTCCTTGAAGGTTACGGCAGGAGTGAACTATCCCATTTACAGAGCCAAATCTCAGTTCTTAAGCAAAAAGCACGATTTCCCATTGCAAGTTTGTCAGCACTGCTTTGTCTTCATTCTCTTTAGTTGCAGTTTGCCCAGCCTCCCAAGTCTACTGGGAATCTTTGCCTGCAGAAGATCTTTGAACACGGTAGGGTTCGTGTGCCACAGCTTTGTATTAGATGCCGGTGGTTTTACTCCCCGCCTTCAAATGCATCTGCAGTTTTCATGGAGTTAACCACATCGGTAACTGCATTCCTGAGTCATTTTTATTGTGAGGAAACGGGCTATTGGGCTAAAGATTTATCTCCCGGTTCTTCACCGCTCCAATGTCCTATGCTTTAGGAATTCTGATCACTGCTTACGGGTCTAGACATTTGGAAAGCTTGGTGCCCTTCGCGCGGTTCGTCGCCTGCGAAATCGCGAGGCCAGCGCGGGCGCCGGAAAGAAATGCCCCCCTCCCCTCTCGCCCGCCCCGCCCCGATCCTCGGTTTCCGGGGGTAGGCGGCGATAGCGTCATCACCCAGCGCCGGGCAGACAGCCGAGCGGAGGGCGGCAAGTGACGAGGGAGGATGCTGAGCCGGCTTCAGGAGCTGCGCAAAGAGGAGGAGACACTGCTGCGGTTGAAGGCGGCCCTGCACGACCAGCTGAACCGCCTCAAGGTGATCCCGCGCCCCATACCCGCACCTCCATTCCGCCCGCGCAACCGTCTCCCCCGAACCCAGCCCTCTGCGGCGCCCAGCTGCTGCCGCCGGCTCTCCCCTTCCTTATCTGGCCATCGTGGCGCGGATCTAGTGTGTACAAACTAACTCGTGTATCTGAAGCAGCTGTGGTGCTTGCTTTGTGATTGTTAGGCCCCAGCCTTCTCAGAATCTTGATCCTGCAGATCTAGGCTAAGGCCCAGGAATCTGTGTTTGGCAAGTACAGTCTCATCCCTTTGCCTCCGTAAGTGCTGGTAGCCCGCAGACTGCATGCCTGGACCCTCCCTGCCCACCGATCTCTTCCTGCTGACCCCCCTTCTGAGCTACTGTTTACTCGCTTGTATTGACGCTTGCAACGGCTTTCGTATTGCAAAGCTGGAAGGGACTGTCAGATCCTCCCGTGGTGCGAAGGAAGACACTGAGGCCCTGGGAGAAGAGATTTGTCACAAAGCCTAGAGTTTCCAGTAGCGCTTCTCAGACATGTTACTGACTCCATGGCCTTGATAAGGAGTCGGGATTTAGGCCCACCTGGGCCACTTCCTCCCAGGCCCGTGTGTAATTCAGCCCTGTAATATGATCGTGGTAATTCTTGCTCAGCATCCTTCTTCAGGATCTGTAAATCCAAATGAAATGAAGATCATGAAAGCCCTTTGCGAAGAATATAGGAACTTGTTTATGTCCCTATATTGCCACACTACCCCTACAAGTACGTAATGAGTGTGCGTTGACCACCTCCAACAAGGGCCCACTTTCTCTTATGCTTCAGGAAACACCTCCATTTTCTGTTCTTCCTACCGTCACTTTCTCATTACTTAGTAGACAAGCTCAGGCCTAGGGAATGTGGCATTCTGTGGAGTCAGAAGGCAACACCTGGCTTTTTTAATGGCATGCTTATTTCCTCCCTAAGCTACTGGGTCTGGGGGAGTGGAAGCTGTGGTTCAAATGGAACACCTGTACATCCTAGGAGAAGGACTGGAGTCTTTGTTCATCTGCTTAAGAGGAAGAGACAAGTTGAACACCCCACTCCCACCCAGATCACCACAGAGATTACAGTTTTAACTCCCTCTCACGATGACACCCTTTTACAGCATGCCCAGCAATTTACCCACATCAGTACCTCAGTGAAATAGTAAAGAAAGTGTCCTCAACCCTTCTTTTCTAGGTTGAAGAATTGGCCCTCCAATCAGTGATTAGTTCTAGAAGAGGGGATGAGATGCTGTCTTCTCAGCCTGCACCTGAACAGTCACACGACGTAAGCTTAAGTTCTGGCCTAGGTAGAGAATGCAAAGTCCACTCTGCTTCCATGCTGCTTGGATGGTCAAAACTTGTTATAAATCACATTACTGAGCCCAAAGGACTCTGGGAAATGCTGATAAGAATTTTTCAGTTTAATAAACTGGCTACTTTTAGGCAGGGAACAGCCCACCTCTCCACCAGCTGGTTACACTTTGATTAATTTATTAAGAAGTTACTAATATATTGCCCTTACCTCCTAGTTATCCATTTTCTCTAGTTATTCAGATCAGATGATCTCAGAGTGTGGAGATCTTTGCGGGGATGTGTCATGTTCAAAACTTGCTGCTTTGTGAATAAGTAACCTTGGGATTAGAAAATAGAATGTGGTTTCAGCTACCATTACAGTGCTAAAAGATGAGTTCTAATCCTCATCATATCCTTTTCTTACCAAATGCCTTTAAGTCGGTCAGTAAAATCATGCTTCTGAATTCACTGTCTCTGAGTATGTTAAGCCACTTAAAATCATTACAAAGTCAGCACAATTCTTATTTGGAGCTTTTTACAAGAACCATGTTTGTAAATCAGGTCACATTCTAGTAAATCTGGGGCATTTACTCTTCCCCCATTTTGGCAGTGTGGGTGGAGGTAGAATTTGGAGAAACAGGAAAGTGGCCATACCTCTTAGTCATAAATATTGGGGATGAATATGCAGTTGAGATTTGATTTTAAAACAGTTTTAGAGATTTGCTTTTTTGAGGCCAGTACACTTCCTACTAATCTATAATGTCCTTGGCTAATGCAGATGTTGGTGCATGTAGACAATGAAGCATCAATCAACCAAACTGCACTGGAGTTGAGTACAAGGAGCCATGTGACAGAAGAGGAAGAAGAGGAGGAAGAAGAATCAGATTCCTAAAAGGGGGAAAGAGCCAGGGCTAGTTATACAAATTAAATTTGTAAGTCTCAGGCACTTTCCCTTTTCAACAAAATCATCTTGCTGTGGGCCCTATGGCCTGCTTGAAAGGGAAGTAAGAACTGTAGGAGGATGTATAGTTGTAAAAATGTCTACATCCATAACTCAAGCTTCAGAATGTTTTTACAAAAATGAGTGATATACAGACAATCAAAGATGTAGTGTCTTAGCATTGAGCAATACGGGTGGTGCTGTGTCTGCAATCTGGTCAGATTCAGTAACTGTTCACAATTTCCTCTGAAATATTGAGAAAGTCTGGCATTTGCAAAAAGGGCAGAGTTTAAGTACAAGCCAGCCTTTCTAGTTAACAATGCCTCTTTTTAAGAAAAGCAATTAAGGGCCGGCCCAGTGGCGCACTGGATAGTGCGCCGCTTGGGAAGCGCGGCGGCGCTCCCGCCCGAGGGTTCGGATCCCACATACAGACCGGTTCCCGCTCACTGGCTGAGCGAGGCGCGGGAGCAACGCTGAGGGTTGCGATCCCATTGCTGGTCCCCTGTCCGGTGCGGGGGCAACACTGAGGGTTGCGATCCGTTGCCAGACACGGAAAAAGACAAAAGACAAAAAAAAAAAAAAAAAAAAACAATTAAGAGGCTGTTTGCATGCCACTGAACCCTTGTGAGCAGAGTTAGGCCACAGTCTAGGAGAGCAAGATGACAAGGGGAAAGACAGACGGCTACCCGAGAACACAAGCTGTTGCCACTTTTCAAAAGCATTGTAACACACTCCTTACTATAGATTGCTTTGTATGGCTGTTATCATGCCTAGCCTGAGACATCACTGGTAGCATGTGATTAGAAATAAAACATAAATAGCCTTCATGGAGCTTGCTGGTTTCCATATACCCACAGAGAAAAGAATCAGTTCCTCCTTGGAGGAAAACATACAGCAGGATGGTTTAAAACCCATTTCTGGTCCTTAGAGAGGAAGCATGCCATGCTAGAGGTTGGATTTTTATAATAAAGACATGACAGCTACAGAATAAGAGTTGTTGAAACTTAGTATGTGAAGTTGAGATTAATTTTTGCATATAGTACCTTTTCTGCTGAATATGCAGTTACATAAGTAATCATTTAGTTTTATAAAATTCATTTCCCCTGCCCAAGCAACAGAAAAGGCAAAGTACAAAGAACCTCCTCAGCAGACTTATGTAACTGTTCCAGAAAAAGATATGGATACGTTTTTTTGTTAACGTTTCATTAAAGTTATTTTGAGCTATTCTTACAGGAAATAGCCAGAAGTTTAAATGAGCATGTTCTTTGAAACACAAAATGTAAAGTCAGTTTTGGAACAAAAAGCATCAAGGTATTTACATTTTGGGGATCTAATTTAAGATATGAGTATGGGTTTTTAAGAGCTGGAAACATTGGCTGTGAATCCTAGCTCTACCACTAACTGATCACTTGCCCTCCCACCTCTTTGCAACTCTCACTTTCCCATCTGTAAAATGAGGATAGTTAAATCTGCTCTAGCAATTTCACAGGTTGCTGTGAGGTACTAATGAGATACCATTTAGAAATCCAACTATTATTGATGTCTATCAGTAAAGGAAGTTTGAGGAAGGAATTTGGCATGGGGTACTCAAAACACTGCAAGACTGATACAGGGACATCATTCTTGAAAACAAGATCATTCTTGGTAAGAATTACTGGAAAAATCTCTTGATTCTAAAAATGCAGTACCTTTGAATGTGAATAGAGAATGTAAAGCATGCCTCACACAGGGTGTGAGCAGGGTACAGGTGTTAAAACTCAGCCTGAATGTTTGTATGTTAAAAACATATAAGTTGAACTGTTGACTTAGAACAGCTGTTGGCCTCACAGTGAGGAAAAATGATTGAGTAGTTTAGGTGGCAGTATATACAACACTGACCAGTTGGGTTTTTTTTTTGACCGGTAAAGGGATTGCAACCCTCGGCACGGTGTGGTCGGCACCACGCTCAGCCAGTGAGCACACCAGCCATCCCTACAAGGGTCCAAACCCACAGCCTCGGTGCTACCAGCGCCGCACTCTCCCGAGTGAGCCATGGGCCTGGCCCAACACTGACCAGTTTTTAAAATCCTGGCTATACCCCAAGCTCTGGTAGCTCTCAAGTGGAAACTACCTACTCAGGAAATTATTTACTCAAGTTCTGTTTTTAATCTAAAAAAAAAAAAAATAGGCCTTTTATTTTAAATACATATGTTGGCTTTAGTTTTCTATAACCTGCCCTTTCAAAGAAGAAAATGAGAGAACAGGTACTGACCAGGCAGTGTCACATGTACCTAAAGTCTAAAAGTCACTTTTTTTTTTTTTTTTTTTTAGAGATGGCCGGTAAGGGGATCTTAACCCTTGACTTGGTGTTGTCAGCACCACGCTCACCCAGTGAGCTAACCGGCCATCCCTATATGGGATCTGAACCCGTGGCCTTGGTGTTATCAGCACCGCACTCTCCCGAGTGAGCCACAGGCCGGCCCCTAAAAGTCACTTTTAAAAGAAGGAAAGAGTGCCAGTGGGAATGCGGCTTTGTTTTCTGTGACTTTGCTGCCACCTCACAAGCATCACAAAGCCAGCACCAGGCTCATTCCTCCTCTTCAGGAAGGTATGGTTACATGTAAGTGGCAAAACAAGGGAAACCACTGCTCAGTGTAGCAAAGCAGACTGTCATATCTTGGGCAGAAGCTCCAAGACCAGGTGGACAACTGGCCACCAGCAAGGCCCTCCTGTGAGCATGGCAGCCAGAAACTGCAGGCATGTCCCAGCTCAACTCTTTGTTATGGAAAATAAGAAACGTTCTGTGACGATGTTTTGTGGTTTTTCTCAGATTTGTTCCCAACCCCCGCCTTCTGCTTTTCCCTTGATAGAAAGAATAGACAGGATCTGTTCACAGGTCCAGAGGAAGGTGGTTGGAAGAGCTGCAGATAAGGGTGTTAGGTGAAAGGAACTGACAAAGTGCAAAAAATGAGATTACAGAAGCTCCATTAGTCCAAAGCACTGAACTTGTTCTTGGTGTAGAATTTCTGCCTTCCAGCCTCCTTCCTGTATATACTTCCCCCCTGCCATAATAATGCTTGGCTAAATCACTTGATTCCTTGTGTACTAGATAAAATGAAAAGCCCACCATCCAAAGTAGAAATATCTTTCCCTTTTTTTTTTAACTTGATAGTATATTTATTAGAATCTCAAGAGACTAGATCTGTTAAACATCTGAATTAAAATGGTTAAAAGGATTTTCATACAATTTTTAGGCACTATACACATTGTTTACAGTAGCATCAATACTTGGATTTGGGGAAAGATAAACCTGACACATTTTAATGCCTGATCTGTTTGTGACATTCAAAAATAACTCCACCATTTTAGAAACACTAATCGAAACTTAAGAGAGAGACATACCACTAAATATCCCACATAGTATATTTAAAAATAAATATAGAAGTACAACCAGAAGTCTACAAATCATTATAGTAGACAGACTGGTGAAGTCCCAGCTATCATGGCAGTGAAGGGCTCTGGCTAGATTTTGATGGAAACTGCTGAATTCTACGTCAAAAGCAAAAAAATAATAATAAAATAACATGATGTACACTTTCTGATGCTCATTTTCATAGCAGCAAAGCATGCTTCACATGCACTGCCTGTAAAGAATCTCACAAGGCTCCCTTCCACTCAGAAGGTAGCCCAGCAAGAATGAAGTACCACCAAGTGTCAAATAATCCTGAAAATACAGGTGGCCAGCCAGTCATGGAGCAGGAACAGCAGTCCAATTATCAGTAAGAATGACTACCCACAGTCACCAAAGTTTCACTGTAATTCAGCTTGGCATGTGTTTTGATCACTAACACACACAAATAGCCCCAAGCACAAAGCCAATCCACTTAGGGGAATAACAATAGTAATAAGAATAAAGACAGTAATATTAAAAATCACACAAGTAAAGTTTTGGCACATGCTGTGTTCTTCATCCTTTGTCACAGGTGAAATGCACGTCTGAACAGAGACAGGCATGGAAAAGAGGCCCAAAAGCAACATGGCACGCCACTGAGCAGGGACTCGCTCTTTGCTGCTTCCCAAAGGCTTAGATGCCAGCTGCGTGGGTTGGTGTGCTAGGCTGGTTAAGGCCAATGGTGGAGCAGAGCCAACCTGCAAAATCCACTTCCTCAGCATCAGATCTCTTGATAAAAGCATGAACCTGTGTGCAAGGAAATGGGGAGAGGAGATAGTGTTTAAAAAGCCACCAAGAAGGAAAAGCCAAGAGTTTTGGATCTAGAGCTTGTGCTGTACTTGGAAGGAACTCCTGAGGGCTCTCTTGAGCAGCAATGGGGCCAGGAAAGGAGGACCAGCTGCAGGCCCAAAGATCTGCTCCACTTGACTATGTCATTCACACCAGTTGTGTGGCCATGGGCAAGCCACTCACCTCTCTGAGCTTGCTCCTGCAGTATGAAATGGGGACAGTAACCCTGTCTTGTAGTATGTCAGTAATGCCTGACAGAGGAAATGATGGACTTCAGTGCATGTTACATTGTATAGGCCATCTAAGGCATGTAAGTCCAGATATTTACAGTAATGCTTTCCCACTCTGCCCACCACCAAACAAGAGGCAGGCGGAAAGCGAGTTGGAAGGGTGCTGAATGTAAGGTGAGCCAGTCAGTATCAGAAAAAGGCCCCTTCCTGAGTGGGCTGGCCCTTTCCCTCAACTCCCTCAGGCCCTTCGTCCTCCTCGCTCACTCAGCCTGTGGGGTCATCCCCGCTCAGCTCTTCCTTCAGCCTTATGGGCGGGCAGAGGAGACTGATGTTTGGCATTCCGCAGCCCCAGGCTTAGCTGGACCACAGTGGTAAGTGCAGAGCACGGAATGGGAACAGGAACTAATGGACAGATGTGTGACAGAGGAGGAGAACAGACAAACAAGTACAGTAAGTGTCTGAAATAAATGGACTTACCATGAGTTGCTTCAAATCTGCTCTCTCTGCAGGGTTTTTTATTAAGCTGAAAGGAAGAAAGATAATGTGAGAGCTACTGCCTGGCACTGGTTCTAACTCAAACTACCTATATTTGCATGTATGTCATCCCTACACCCTACAGGCTCTGAGGAGAAGTGCCTGAGCCTTATTCATCTTCTTGTTCTTAGCGCAATGTCATGCCCACAATAAGTTCATAAATTCCTGCTGAATTAAACTAAGGTCAAAAAGCAATATGCCAATCCCTGTAGAGCAAGTGCTGCAAGCAGCAGCTATTTTCCCCACTGCTGTAGTCAGACACATCACATATGTCTTGGCATTCTGCAAAAAGGGCTTATGACAGCAGTTGGGGGTAATCAGAGGGGAGGGCAAAGGGCATAACCGGTGCTCCCAGAGGTGAGTAGGAAGCCTGACAAATCGTTACCCTTACAGAGAACAAAAAGCCAACTTACCATTTATTCACAAAATCTTGAAATTCTAGACTGAATACTCCATTGGGCAGTTTTGGAGGAGGCTGCAAACACAGGTCAAGACGTGAAATGCCTGGCTACCTGCTCAAGCCATCTCCTCTCCCCATACACCCCCACTTCTGGGCAGTGCTACCCTTATCCAGTCAAAGAAAGACAGGGGTGGGAGACAATATGGTCTCACATAGCAGAGTTAGAATTGAGACCAAGTTAAGTGTTCTACCACTCATCTGATGACTTTGAACCAGTCACTGGTTCCTCTCTGAGCCTCAGTTTACTCTTTTATGAAATGAAGAGGTTGGGCCTAATGATCTCTGGGACTCTTTCAAGCTCTGACACTCTAGAATTGTGAATTTTGGAGTGTGACATGGAAATGTAACAAGCAATTACTAGCAACAGCTAAAGGGATGTGCAAACCACCAAGCACAGCCCAGGCCTGACAGCGCCCACAGAAGCAAGCAAAAAAAAAAGTCCCTTTTCTGAGCCCTGGAAAGACAGAGAAAGGTTAATAAAACAAACTGGCAGAGGGCTGGGTCTGGAAGAATGCTGCCTGTACAGTCCAGGAATGAGGCTATCTTCAGGCATCAGACGAAGAACACTAACAACAGCTCTCATTTTTGCATGGTGATCATGGAGCGCTACATGGCACCAGGCTCATGGTGCTCCATGCAGTCCCAAGAAATGTGAGCTGTGTGTAGCTTCCTTGTGAGAAGCTGACCCTCAGACACACTGCCAGAATATCTCTGCTCTGATGTGTATCCCAAAATTAACAAGTGATCCAAGATTTAAAATGAAACCCTGAGTCTCCTCCCCTACCAAAAAGCCCAGCATATCCCTCCTTCCCTGAAGGCCTTGTCAGTATGGTCAAAGGTCAAGAACTAGAACAGAGCTCTTAGGAATAGTGGCCCAGATCAAGTCCTGCCCAGCAGACTCTGCTGCTGAGAGGAATGAAGGGAATGTTCAAGGGAGAAAGGAGACTAGCAACTTGGTCTCCAGAGGCCAGCGTCCATTCCCTCTGAGTAGGAGGGAGCCAGGCAAGGGAGGGGCAGTGTGCCAGCAGAGGCTGAGGCAGATCTACTGCTGCACAGCCAAGCCTCCGGGGAGGTAGGAGTGGGGCATGGGGGTGGGGGGGGATGGGAGGTAGTAGGTATAAGGGAGAAAGAGCACAAGGTGGGAGGGACCTGAGCTATATCTCATCTTGGAGCCTCAATTTCCTAGCCTGTGTGAAGAGGATAACAAAACCAATTCAGCAGTGCTTGGGAGAACCGAGTAGGAAAATGAACGTGAAAATGTGGAAGAAAGCAGCGCACACTCGGAGGTGCAGCTGCATATTTAACCTCAGGCACCCCCCTCCCTTAATATGACTCCCATTTGGTTTAGGTCCCTATCAGTAGAGGATGGATGGCTTTTTCCCCAGTGCTGCAAATGGAAGGTGCTCGCCTTCCTTAAATCTTTAAGCAGCAAGGATCAGATCCTGAACTACTTTTCTACAGTCTATGGTGCTTACTATAAAGCTGTGCAGTCAGTAAAGAGAGGTAAATTAAACTCCCTAGTAGACTGTGAACCAGAGACTTCTGGGGTGAACCAGGATTTTCCTTGTTGAGTTTATAATGGACAAGGGGACCTTTTTGAGCCTTTTGGGGTCTGGTTTTAGAGAACAGTAAGAAAGTATGAGAAGTTATTGCACTGGTCTCTTGAAGAAGAGAATGGTATGATAACCTTTATCTTATACCCTAGCAAACTAGGGGCCTCCAGCTGCTTCCCAAACATGCCAGAATTTACCTTCTCTTCAACTACCAAGGCTGCCCCCATGGCCAGGAGTGCTGGCCCTCTCGTCTCCTCCTCCTAAACTCCTGTCCTAAGCCAGCCTGTGGCTCACTTGGGAGAGTGTGGTGTTGATAACACCAAGGCCACGGGTTTGGATCCCTATATAGGGATGGCCAGTTAGCTCACTTGGGAGAGCGTGGTGTTGACAACACCAAGTTAAGGGTTAAGATCCCCTTACCAGTCATCTTTTAAAAAAAAAGAAAAATATCCTGTCCTGACCCCTAGCCCAGCTCCTCCAGCCCTGCCTCACTTCCCTCTGAGCAACCTTGGTGCTTGTCCACAGCTTCTCACAACCCCAAAACCTAAATTTGATGAATGATTGTCAGTCTCTTCCTTCCTTGATCCTTTTTTCATTTAAACGTACTGGTATGTTTAAATATGTGTTCTTTGTATTAAAGTCAGCCAGCAGCAATAAACAAAAAAGAAAATTTTACTCAATTTTAATTACAATTTCATCACTAAGATAACCACTAATATTTTAGAACTTTCCAGATTTTACAAGGGTACTTCAAAAAGTTCATGGAAAAATTCAAATATCTTGTAATTCTATTTTTCCACGAGCTTTTTGAAGTACCTTCATATATGCACATATGTACATGCATTCATAAATTTTTTTAAAGAATTGACCGTAGTGTACATACTATTTTGTAGTCTGCCCTTTTTACACACCAGTTTATAGTGACTATGTTCCATAGCTATTTCTACACTCATTTTTATGTTCATAGCTTTTTAATGGCACTTATAAGCAAAAACCCTGTATTACAGTTACATATACATTTGTCTTGCCTCCCCTATACAATCTAACGTTCTAGACTAGGGACTTTAGTTTTTCCATCTTTGGATCCCTGCCCCACTCCTACCCCCACCCCTCAGTACTTAGCACATAGTGCACAAGAATGTAAATATAAGCTGAGGCTCTTGAATCTTGGAAAGGAAGAGGGACTCAGCTACCTGAAGATGTCACCTGGGAAAGGGACTCCTGCAGTTTTTAAACCTGCCACTCATTTCCAACAGCTTGACACACAAACCAGAACACAAGAATCCTGGAGCATGTACTGTGGGACCAATTTACAAGTTTCCTAATCAACTCAGCCATGGGTATTTCCTTAAGAGTAGCAAACAAATTCCATGGTCAAGGAAACCAGGCAGTACTTACCTCATTGACGATGTAATCCAACAACTCAAAAATTGCCATGGGAGGTCGGCTGTCCATTCCATATGCTACAGATTTTATAAAAAGAAAAAAGAAAACACTTCTCAGAAACTGACAAGAGCCAATATGAGGCAAGGGGGTGGGCATAGATCCCAGGGGCCAGCACAGGGTCATGACTGACAGACAGAACTGCCACAGATAAGCCCTGAATGCAGAGGGGACCACTATGTGAAGGCCACAGGACCAGCAGGCCAGAGCATGGGTCTGGGATCTGCCACATCCTAGGTTTGTGACCTTGGGCAAATCAGTTGACTACTTTTTTTTTTGGCAGCTAGCTGGTAAGGGGATCCAAACCCTCTGTTGACTACTGAGCCAAACTTCTGAGCTTTGTAAAGCAGAGATGGATAAACTTACATCTGCTGTTTTCCTCTTCCTTATATTGAGAGAGTGGCAAATGAGATAACTAAATAACTAAAGAACTTGTTTTAATTCTACCTGAACTTGGGTTTCTTCCTTTCATATCCCAGAGTCATAGGCCAGCCTGAGGGGCCACAACCACCAGTCCAGTCCCTTCAATGACCCAACATCAGCTACTCCTATCCCCCTCGGCTTCTCCCTTCATACATACTTCCATGTGGACCTCACAGAGGTAAAGACCAGGTCTCCCTGGCCAGACAAGAACTTCCTGGCAGGAACTCCACAAAAAGATGATGGCTAGGTCAGAATGTTCACTGAGTACCACATTACTTCATAGTATTCACATTCAGAGAGGCAGGTGGTACCGCATAGTGTTTATCACCTTGGGAATAGGACTTGGCCACTTACAAGCGTATGTGGCCTTGACAAGTTAAGTGCTCTGTGCCTCAATTTCCTCATCTCTAAAATGGATATAATAGTGCCCACAAACAAAATGCTATTAAAATTAGATAATGCTAGGTAAATCCATGGAGACAAAAAGTAGATTAGTGGTTGCCAGGAGATGGGGTTGGCAGGGGAGGCTTAGGAATGATTGTTAATTGGGATGAGGGCTTCTTTATGGGATAATGAAAATGTTCTGGAATGAGATAGTGGTGATGGTTGCACAACATGCAGTAATATATTAGAAACCACTGAACTATATACGTTAAAATGTGAATTTAATATTACGTAAATTTTATCTCAAAAATAAATAAATAAATCTACCGAAGAATGTCATGATTAGAAACAGATAATGTATATAAAGTACTAAGCATAGTACCTAGAACACAATAGGTACACAACAAATGGTAGGAAGTTGCTGGAAATAACAATTTCCTACACCCACCTAGAGACCCCTGCTGCTTCCCCCTTGGCCCCAACCAGACATCCAGGAACTTCTACCAGACTCAGTCTTGGTAAAATGTACAAACTATCAGCCCTCCAGAAACCCCTGACAGCAAGGGACCCCAAAGTCCAAGCTGGGGAGACACCAGGCCACTCACCACTAAGGGGCCTCCCGGGGGTCCTTGGCCTGGGTGGTGTCTCAGCCGCATCTCCTTCCACCTGGCACCCAAACATCAGCTCCAGCTCCTTGGCATCTGGAGGAGGGATGGGATACCTCCCAACCGCCATCTCCACCAGAGAGAGCCCCATGCTCCAGATGTCCGACTGCACAGAGTAATGAGTCCCCTGGAGTCTTTCTGGCTGCAGAAGAGACAGAGACACAGTTACAATCACCTGAACTAACTTGGACCTGTGTCTGCTGATGCATTTTATCTTCTGCCCCTTCCTCTCAACAGCTCACATCCAGTTTCAAGAGCTCCATAACCTCTTGAATTTGGCCTCCCATTTGCCCACAAATAATGTGGTTATCAAATCCTAGCTCCTGTGGCTCTGACCTCTCCTCACTGCTCCATCTCCCCTGTAACCTGCCCTGAACTGACAGCATCCAACCAGCTGGGCCCTGGATGCCACTTCAGCCTGTGGTTTGTTTTGCCCAGACTGGGCACTGTCTTGCATGTGCGGGCAGCCTGTCCAAAGCCCAGCATGAGAGGCTCATCTTGTCACCTGAGTCTGAAACATGAGCTTGTGAAACATGGTTCATGAATGAGGTGGTGCAGTTGGTAGGAAGAACAAAGGATCTGGGGTCAGGAGACCAGGGGTTCAAGTCCCAACTCTGACACTTAAAAGCTTCAAGATCTTGAACTCAGCTTCCTCATCTATAAAATGGGGCTGCTGCTCACAGTGATAATAGTAACAACATAGCAAAATACCCACTCTACTTACTAGGGTTATTGAGGTGGTCAAATCAAATGAAAACACATGTTAGATGTTGCAAAATATGAGTTATATTGGTGGGAAAAGTGGGAAGAGTCAAAGCAAAAAAGTATAGAATGTGCTATATGAAATAATTACTTTCCCTGAGCATTATTTGAAATAGCCATGTATTTCAAGAACCCTTCAAAAAAATCTTTAACTATTCTGACCATAGTATACTTATATAGATATCAAATTAACTTCTCCCATAGGATTTTTCACTAACTCTAACAACGAACTGTTTTGGAATTGATCATATAAGCACAAAAGCCCAAACCACTAAACCCTGGATCAATAAGTCCCAGGGCCTGTTATATGACTCTGAACTTGAGAGTTGGTGGTCGAGTGGCCCAGGGTGCCAGCTGCTCAATTATTAGACATTCAGGGAAGAAGCAATAGGGGGATGACAGGGAAAGAGAGAGGAATAGAGTTCCACTGTGGGTCGCTGGAGTGGAGGGGTCAGTGCTGGGTGAGTGATGTTGACAGTAGCTGGAGTGGGGGTAAGGGCTAGTAAGAAGGAATGAGGATGTGGGCAGGAACTTCCACACAGGGATCTGGGGCAGCTGCCAAATCCTCCCTAAAAGGCAAGTGAGGGTGTGTTATGCAAAGCCAGAGGCTGGCTTTCCAACCTGGCTCAGCAAGGTTAAGTAGGCAGGTCACTTAACCGCCCTGAATCTAAATTTCCTCACCTCTAAAATGGGAGCAATAATCTTCACTTCATAAGACAACTGAACACATCATTGAGATCATTCGAGAATGCTCTAACAGAGAACACGTAAAACACTCTATGTTAAGCTCCCCTGGGCCTCTGTGCCTGCTCTCCCCACACCAAGGCCTGCACTTAACTTCCACTTCTGCGAAGACTGCCCACTCACTCCAATGCTCCTCTGCTCTGCCCACTTCAGCACTCACCCGGACTCGCGTACCCACTTTTCCCAATCATTCTCAGGAATGTGCTATCCATGTACCCACTCATGCAGTCAACCAAACATTCACCCACTTGCCAAGCATTCCCTGAACGCCTACCATGTGCCAGGCCCCATGCCAGACCCTAAGGACAGGAGAGATACCTACAGCCTTGTCCCTGCTGCCAAGGAACTGTTGTATGCAGGAGGGAAGAGAATGTGCTGATGCTGCCATGTGTGTGGGGATAGCCACACACTGCGCTTTGCCTACCATGTGCCAGGCCCCATGCCAGACCCTAAGGACAGGAGAGATACCTACAGCCTTGTCCCTGCTGCCAAGGAACTGTTGTACGCAGGAGGGAAGAGAATGTGCTGATGCTGCCATGTGTGTGGGGATAGCCACACACTGCGCTTTGGTGGCAGTGGGAGCCAGTGGAGGTGGGAGGAGAAGGGAAGACCCCCAAGATGGGGTACTGGCTGAGTTAGAGCAGAGACTCCAGCCAGGGGACCAGGTGCACTGTGGTGAGAAGCAGGGGTAGGTGACTAGGAGACATGTACAGGTATGTAATGAGGAGGGAGAGAAGAGGCTGGATGGAGGAAACAATTCTGAATAGACTCTCAGGAGTTGGGGCCACTAGACACTGCAAGGATGGGGAGCCCGGAAGGGAGGTTAAAGCCAATGCTTAGGTTTCTATCTTGGGAAACCAGGGAACTGGTGATGCTATTTACTGCTAATAGAAAAGGAGAAGGTAGAACAGTCTGCGGTGGTGTCATGTCTGAGCATATTGGGTTTGAGGGTCTAAAGACAATCACGTAGAGATGTCCAGAGCATAGCTGAAGCTCATGATCTCTTCAGAATGAAAGCCAACTCTGGAGCTGGGATCGTACAATCTCTTCTAGAGGGTCAATGCCCCAAAACCCCAATTATGCTCCAAGGCCTATGAAAGGCTGAGACCATCTCCCTGTTAGACTTCAATCTCCTCAGGGAGGACCACTGTGTCTCATTCCTCATTTCTTGGCCCACACCCATCACCTGGCACAAGACTCTGGCTCCACAGGGAAGTCACCCACTTGACTTCCATCCTTGACTGGACAAGAAGCTGAAGAAATGGAAGCTGCTGTTCATACCGACATGTAGGACCTTGTTCCCACAAAGGAGTTGGCCATGGAGTCGATGAGCTGTCCACTGACACCAAAGTCACAGAGCTTGATCTCCCCACGGGAGTTGACTAGGATGTTGGAGGGCTTAACATCTGCAGGGAAGAAAAAATAGAAAGGTAGGGAATTGACAAAGGTAGACTGGGGAGAGGAAGGGTCAGCACTCCACAGACAGATAGACCAGCTCTGACCATGAGTCCCAGGATAACACCCCCATGCCCCATCAGAGGCAGCCCTCAGCTTGCAAACACTGGACACCAAGAACCCTTATTTCCCCTTATTCAGGATGCAAGGAAGGACTGTCGGGAGATGAAATGACCAGTTGCTGTAGAATCAGGACAGAAAGCCAGTGGATTTCTACTCTTTGAGAATGCAGACTTGGCCAGATAACCCACAGGAACAGTTATCATGAAGTCAAGATAAATTCTATTGCTTCAGCCACCCATACTGGCATGACACAGTATCTATGGTTGGATCATAAGGGAGCCAGAAAACACAAATAATAAGACTCACATGCTTACTGGTGCTACAAACTAAAGACTAAAAGGGGATGGGGTAGGGGCGGGAATTCCTGTTCTTGACCTCTGAACCAAGCACAGATCATGTGAGTTCTATGAATATGTGTGGCAGGGATGGGAGCTTTTTTTGGAGTGCGGGGAGCTGACTTACGACTGTCTTTAACTGAAGTCATTTACCTAACAGCCTACGCAGCTACATCTGCCCTGTTAGTCAAGGGGAGCCCCTCACTACCTGGGGCTGGAGAACTCGGGAGGCCTGAAAGCAGCTCCTCAAGGTTAAAGCAGTGCCCCCAGTACCAGACCCATCCCTCTTCCCTGCACTCATATTACCACCCCACCTGCCCCGGCTGCTGTCACCAATACTAGCCCAGTGGCCCTTCAGTTGCAGAGAGACATAAAGCTCCAAATGTTTTTTCTTCCACTATCTCCTCTGATTCACACAACTGCACTGTAAAGTGGACAGACCAGGGCCAATTATCCTCATTTACAGGTGGGAAAACTGAGGCTGGGACTTGGTGAAGGTCCCTGGGCCAGGGCTTTGTAGGCAGACATCGGCAAATGATGAGAGACTCACACAAAGGCAAGCCATATCCAAGAGCAAAATCCTAAATTATGACAGGGATTCTTTAATAGAACTAATATAGACACTATATAGAACATTTGGAAAATTATTGAAAAAACCAAACCACCCATATTTCCAACCTACAAGAGCCACTATTAATATTCCATTATTTTTCCCTTTGATATTCTTTCACATGAATGCATTAATTATAAACAGATTGTAACAAGTCTATTTAAGAATCTGTCCAAGGGTAAATTGAAAAAAGAAGAAAAATCACCCTCTAATATCCTCGTAAGTCTCTCCCCTGCCCACCCCCACCTAGCCCCTCACCATCTCCAGCTTGGGTGGTAATCACAGCCCCCGGCCAGCTCCAGCCTCTCTCTACCTACCACCAGGGTAGGGACTGCCTCACTATCTAACCCCTGAGCCAAGATGATGCCGAGCACACAGTAGGTACTCCAAAAGCCCTTACTGAATGAATGGATCTAAACTCACTGCTAGCATGTACACATGTGTATGTATACACACACACACACACACACACACACACACACACAAAGCCACTGGTGTAGTCTTTCTAAGACCCAGCCCTCATCATGTCACCCCCCATTGTTCAGATCCAGGTCATGCTCTTCAGTAAGGAGCACAGGATACAAGACCCTTCCAGTGTCAAAAAAAATTTTTTAAAGGCCTTTCCAACCCCTATGCAACACCCCTCCATCCCCCACTGTCTCCTACATATAGACTTTGAGAAAGCAGGTACCAAAAGTAGCCTTAGAGGACATCTGCTTCCTCCTCTTCATGACAAAGATGAAAAATCTAAGGCCCAAGGGGTCCGGTGCCTTGTTCCAGGTCACACAGTTAAAATTGGCTAAAGCTAGAAACAGATCCAGACCTTCTGTCACCTAGACCTGCCCTGGTCCTGCTCAACCTGCTGCCGTATTACTCAACCGCATCATTCACCTAATGTTCACTGAGCATCTACTCTGTGCAAGCACCATGCAGCCACCAAGCAGAAAGCAGTGAACAAACTGACCAAGTCCTCACTGTCACGAAGCTTAAATTTTAGCATGAGGAGACAGGCAATAAACAAACCAATGAACAGATGTGTAACATCAGGTGGTCTTAAGCACCATGAAGAAAATGAAAACATAAAACCAGGTAAGAGCACCGAGAGTGAAGGTAGCTTCCATGCAACACAGGAAGGCCTCCATGAGGAGATGACACTTGAGCAAAGGCCTGGATGAAGCGAGGGAGCAAGTCATGAGGCCTCCTAGGGAATTAAGGGGACGTGATAAACTTCTGGAGGTCAGCAACTAACTCTGTTCCTTTTCCAAACCTAGTGTTAGGATGGGCCCTGACAAACACTTCAGCCAAGGAGTGAATCCAGCAGCTGCTCTTGGGGCCCGCAGTCCTCATTCCACAGTGCCCAGCTTCTCTCAGAGGACAGATGCCTGACGCCTGGAGGTCAGGTGCTCAGGATGTGGAAAGTGATGCTGAGGAACAGGACAAATCTGCGGGGGCCTGGTAGGGACAGCACACAGAGGCACTCCCTCATGAGCCCCTCTTCCACATCTCCCACCAAATGCCCTGGCCTCTCATCCCTGGCTGGACCACGCAGCCCTGAGCTCCTTCACCATCCAGATGCTCTCTGTGGCCTGGTTAGCTATGACCTGTCAGGCCTTGTTTTAGAGCAAAAGAGAGGCACTGGCTAAAGAGACAGGAGATCTGTATCCAATCTGAGCCCTGCCACCTGCACTACATATAGACTTGAGCAAGTCACGTGGCTCCTCTGGGCTGTGATTTGTCCATCAGTAAAGTGATGACAACTGCGGCTCTGGCAACATCACGAGGTGCAGACCAGGATCAATCTAATGAAGTATGGCATATACATTGCATACCATGTTATAGGAATACAGAGAATGATCATTTCACAAGTTGCCTTCCAAGACCAGTGGTTCATAGAACCAGACACCCCCACCCTCCTCAGCAGAGAACAGCCCCTTCCCTGGCTGAGGGTTCCTTCCTCCACTGGATCAGACCCTCTCTCCAGGTTGCAGTTGCGTCTAGCTGTTCTTGTATCTAATTTCTATTCACATAGCAAGAAGCCTCCTTCCTTTTTTCAAACTTATATAACACTGCTTTCCTCCATCCCTGGCTGTCAGCTCTGGCTTCCCCCACCCACCCCAGGGAACAACACTGCCTGGAAGGCTGCAGAGATCATGGGGTTGGAAGGCTTTTCGATGCTTAAACCATATGGGTCCTGGGAGCCAGATAAACTGCACACAACCCCTCCTGGTGACCCAAAGGGCTTGACAAGTAGAAGCCCCTTGAAGACTTAGGTACAGTAAATCATTAAACTGTAGAGTATGCTTCTGCAGCTGCCAGGCTAGAACATGCTCCTGTCCCCACCCCCACCCCCACCCCAAAGCCCCAGCCAAGTTTGGCTCTTCTCTGGGGGCAGAAAAGAGGTACATTTGTCAGACAAGGCCAGATAATTCATTTCTGGATCTCCATTGGCACCCTGCACTTGCTTCCCACAAAAGCCAGCCCCTCCCCACACTGTTCCTGTGCCCAGTGTCGTCCCCCTCCACCCTGACTGCACACAACCAGCACTCCTCCAGCAGAATGGCTCCTGTCTGTCTTAGAGCTCACTCCAAGGCTCTCTGCCTGGCTTTCCAAGCCCTCCACTGTTTCTTCCTTAACTGTCCAACTTCATGCCCCGTCTTGTCTCCACTCCACCTGATCCCGGTGCAGGCTGGCCTGCCTTTCTTTTTTTTTTTTTTTTTTTTTTTTTTTTTGTCTTTTTTCGTGTCCGGCAACGGATCGCAACCCTCAGTGTCGCACCCGTACCGGACCGGGACCGGCAACGGGATCACAACCCTCGGCGCTGCACCCGCACCTCGCTCAGCCAGTGAGCGGAACCGGTCTGTATGTGGGATCCAAACCCTCGGCGGGAGCACCACCGCGCTCCCAAGTGGCGTACTGTAGCAGTGCACCACAGGGCCGGCCCTGGCCTGCCTTTCTAACTGCCCTAGTATAAGAGACTTGCCTCCCTGCCTTCTCTTGTGTTGCACCTAAAACGTCCCCTTTCCACCCACCCCTCACTTCTACTAGGTGCTTAGTTCTTCTGAGTCCACGTCCCAACTTGGGATACTGCCTCACCCCTGGAGTCCTGGGAGGTTTAAATGGGCTTCTGCCGACATTTTCCTAGCAGAGCCCTCAAGCCATGTGCAAATCACAGGCCCAGTCTCTTTCTACTTCCTGAGGCCCCCTCCAGACCTCGGGTTCTCTTTCTGATCCTTCAGTATGAAGAGAGTGCCACTGAGAGGAGCCTTTGCTGCAAGTGGGCCAGACTATTCTGGAGGAAGCGCCGACACCCACTAAGCTCCCAGGCTGACAGGCTTCCCCAGGGACCTCGCAGGATGCTGAGAGTGGACACCCTGATCCTGCTCAGCCTCTGCAACAATGAGGGTAGGTAACCCCTCCTTCCTCAAAATAAATAGGAGGTTTTATGAAAAACTAAGTGGAAGAATATTTTCTTCCCTGATATTTTCCGCCCCAGGAATAACCACTATTCATAGTTTCCTGAGTTTTCCCTCATGAGCACACATTTTGTAGTTTAACTACTGAGCATTTTCTGTGCCTCTAAAACAAGCAGTTTGGATAAAATAATTCAGGGGTCATTTGTTTATCCTGTAAACACTTACAGAGCACTGCATTGAGCTATGAGTAAAAAGGAGACAGTCTCTGTCACTGAGGCCCTCACCACCAGGGGAGACAGAATCCAACAAATAAAAATAATACACACACTGGTGTATGACGGTAAAGGCAAAGACAGAGATGTGGTCAGGGTGCTGAGGACTCAGATATTCTAAATTCTTCCAACCAGCCGGATCGGTGCCACCCATCTGATGCCAGCATGACTAGCTGACAAGGCCCCAGCAGTCACATGAACTAAGGTGATATCAGCTCTCCAGGGTATTCCTGCTACTACATTCCAGTACTTTCATTT